GCAAGGAGTACAGCCGAGCGAATATATGCTTTAAATATATTTTTTATTCAGCGAGTACGCCGTGCGGCTATACGCTTTAAATATATTTTTTATTTATGGATTTTTTACATGTAAGAAGTATAGCCGCGTGGCTATACACTGTAAATATATTTTTGGGAGTTTCACTAAAACACCCAAAATGGAGGTTGAAATTATAAAAAAACCCAACACCCAAAACACTTTATAAACACACCCAAAACCCATCATTACACACACTCAAAACTCATTTATAAACACACCCAAAAAGTTGACTTTGAGGTTGATTTTGGGTGTGTTTCTATGTTTAAATAGTTATTGGGTTTTTTTATAAATACATGTCTAGAATTGGGTTTATTTATAAATTTGTATATATTTTTTACCCCTTTAAACGTCTTTGCCATACATATATCCTCCCCTGAGTTGTGACATAACGAAGGGACTTCTGTATATATATTAACTGTTCAAGAATATGATTAGACATCTGAATGCAATTGAAAGGTTTTCTTCACTTGTGCAACTTTGCCATTTAAATAAAGTTCAATAATGATGAGGTTAGATGAGGCACACGTACTGAATCAATTGGTTCCCTGATAATGATGGACTTTAGGCCTCTGTTTTTCCGAGTTATGAAGGCGTGAATCCTGCCATGAACAGCATCCAATATTGTGAATTCCTTTTTCCTGAGTTATGAGTAAAACTCATGCACAATCACTTGCTCCAATTAACCAATGCTAACCTTGTAAACTTCAAGAAGATTATGAAGCGTATTCTAGGAGTACAGCCGCGCGGATATACTCTTTAAATATATTTTTACACTTCCCCTCTCCCAATTTCTATATTTCCTTGGAGTTGAATAATATAATATCCTCAACCTCTTGAATTTTGAAAGGCGGTGGGAAAAAAAAGACTCGTGCCCCAAACCAGCATGCAATTCCTTTTGTTTTCTCACCCCCAGCTGGCCAACTGGGTTATTATATAGAATTAAGAAAAGCTGTTGTTAAAAAGAATAGTCTATACATTATATAGATGAAGCCTGAAGTCTAAATCTGTTGTTTAAAGTCGGCTTAAGTGACTCCAAGTTGTTGTAAGTGCTGGCTGGCACGAATTCAAAAACAATATCAATGTCAATGATTGGAATAAATTATATATATTTTCATGGGTCTTCCGTCTACTTGTACTCGGTTTGTTGATATAAACAATTGCGTAAATCACAAAACTTGGATCTTTTCTACATTTTTTTTGTTTTTAATTTCACAAAGGCTAAGAAGATGCTTTGGATTTGACGTAATTAATCTAGCAGCATTATTTTCCATGATTCCAGTTAGTGGTTGATTTCCTTTTCTTGGTAGGTTTTGAACAAGTCCCGGATTCATCCAATTTCAGCTTTCTTTGTGGCAATTACAACAAGTTTGAACTGGTGTGGTGAGGGTCAATAAAGTAATTAGCCTCGTCGAAGAAATGAGCATCCCATTCCATTAAATTAGCTTTTCGTTCCTTCTTAGGTTAGCTTTATTCACTTGTTCTTATTATTATAAAACCGAGTCCAAGATTGAGACTCAACTACTTTAAAACAAGTTGGCAACCAAAACTACTCTATTTTCTTGTATAGGCCAAGACAGCAAAACAGAGCAAAAACTATGGCCAATTCCTCTTCTATTTTTCTCTTCGCCTTTTACATGTTCACGGCAACTCTGATCATCTCCACTTGGACCGTCCATGCAGGAGGCGATCACGGGTTGAGCTGGGTTCCGGGTAGAACCAGCTGCCAGGGTTCGATTGCGGAGTGCATGGCTGATGATGAATTTGACATGGACTCTGAGATCAACAGGCGGATACTGGCCACCTCACAATACATCAGCTATGGAGCTCTGCAGAGGAACACCGTGCCATGCTCTCGGAGAGGTGCGTCCTACTACAACTGCAAGCCAGGTGCAGAGAGTAACCCCTACAACCGTGGATGCAGTGCTATTGCTCGTTGCCGTAGCTGATCAAAAGTGTAGCCTATTTTACCATGTTTATGCCTTGGATTGTTGTGGATTGTAATGTTTATATTCTTGCTTTATCTTCTGTTTTTATCCCGACTTCAATACAGTACCATACTTCAGATAAAAGAAAACACACAGTTTTCTCTGTGAAATGTTGAAAATTAGAAAGCGGATCGTCTCAGATTTTGCTTTACTTAAGCAGGCAATGTTTCTTGGTCAACCTTGTTCTTTAACTTAAGAATCTATCCTCCTAATGAACTTTTTGCTTTGTTCTTTCTTTATGTCTTCCCACTTTAATGTGTGTGTGGTTAGAGCCAGAGTCGACCCCATCAAGGGCCTGTTAGTTGCAGGATCATGGTACCAGGATTTTATGAAGTATAAAGATGTTTTCGAATGAAAATATTCTCTCTGCAACCAAACGCTCTCAGAAATTCAAATTTAAAAATACATACAGCAGTGAATTGTTAAACGCTTTAGACAATTCTGATAACAAATCAGTCTTGAAACAGGGCTACTAGCTGCAAATACAATCAATGATCAAAAATCATGTCATATTCATGACTTTTGCCTAACACAGCCCATACGACTAAAATTTCGTTCGAAAGATAAATAGCTACAAGAGCACATTGGAAGCTTATAAACTTCATAGTAACATCAGCTTTAATAGCTCAAGCACACATACAGAAACACAGACAATGATGGCAAAAAGTAAAAAAACCTCGTCAAATGTTCACATTATGACTAATTTTATGCAGAACCTTCTTGTTGCTTCACTTCACCTGCCTCTGGCTTGGGCTGCTGCACGGGAGATGGAGAGCCCTCGATTCCCATCTCTGTTCTTAGGTCGTTGATGCTATGCTCCAACTCATTTATGCGAGTTCCCATCTCGTCAAGTGAATCACAGTCAAGAAAACACAAAATAGATTTCATTTCAACCACTACAATGATATGACACAGACAGTAAGGTTTCAAACCCATTAAGTTCCAATTTATCTGAACTACCAGCCAAAACCAGAAAACATCGATACACCTAGTTTGTAAAAACAGCTGCCTATGGTGGCAGGCCAAATGACAATTTTAAGGCTTTCAATAAGCATACATAAACCAAATCATTTATATTACTTTCATTTACATTAGTTAGACATATTAATAGGTGTACCTCCAGGAGGTATCTAATAAAATTGACGAAGAACCAAATTTGCGATTGTAAAAATTAAAGAAAATAAGGAAAGGATATTCTTTGTAACGATGGAGTCCGACATTGTTTGGAACCGAGATTGCTGCAGGCAGAAATTTTATTAGCAACAGTCAGTTATGTGACCAACATAAGCTCTCACTTATAACTAACAACTCACCATCTGCTGAAGAAGGTTTTGCACCTGCAAAAAATAAATGCACAAAAATTATGACAAGAACACAACAGAAGACAAATATTACCAACACAAGATTCTTGTATAAATAATCCAACAATGTTAAAGTCCTACATTCTTCAACAACTATCATAACTTATAAGCTATGCCAACATTTATGATGTTGCGAGAATATCAAGGCACTCACAAAAGCAGACATGTCTGCGGTGCTTTGCTTTGAATCTTCTGAATCATGCCCATCCTGCCAAGATAAACAGATCACAGTAAATCAGGCACTTGAAGTCCAAAGTGTTAGAAATGGTGACCCTAGCGACATGTCGTACTATCAATAAGCCATAAAACGACGCACAATTGAGCGAGTAGCAACAACCAGTGAGAAAGGCAAACAAAACATTTCCGGTAAGATTCAAAACATACAAAACAAAATCTTGGCATCCAAATTTGAAACTACATGCATCGCAATTTCAAATTTCAAAAATAGTAGAAATCGTGGAGTTAGAACAAATCTAAAGACAGTAAAAACACAGTTTTTGAATTGAATCGGAGTTGAAATATTAGGAACCCTAGCGGCTTAATTGTGCGAAATTAAATGATTTATTTCGGCAAAAAAAAAAATCGCAGAAAAAGAAAAACAAGAAAACTAGGATTGAGAAGAGAGAAGATTGCCATTACCATCCTCTAAAAATTTCGGAAACGACCTTCTTGCTCCAACCTTCCGTACAGTAGCTCTACAGGGCTATTAGCTGATGCGTGGATGATTTTGGGTGCGGCGTGGCCTCTGGTATATATTTCCGGTGCTGCTTTTGAAGGTCAGGTTACATATATACCCTTGTTTGGAAAATAAATTAACATTTGTGCCACCATACCCAAGTGGATATGTTAAGGTCATTTTGCCATGGTATTTGAATTCAAAATTATATCTAAGAAGGAAAGAATGGGCATTTTAGTCAGAGTGGGAAAGTCGAAGAATTGATGTTGAAAATAATAGCGCCACTGAAATTTCAAAATTTCATTATCCCAAAACTCTTTTCTTTTCATTTTATTTTATATATTTGATTAAATAACCAAAAAATTGGAGAGCAAGTGTAAAAGGCCAAGCAAATAGAGCAAGGCTGAATGATAGGCCATGCACAACCATGAACAACCCATAACCCAAGATTTTTTGCCAAGCCCCATGCCCCTTCCCTAAAACCCAATTCATTCCTGCAACCCAAAATTTTTCTATACTTTGAATGTGAGCGTCCAATTCAAAATTAACTACGCATGGGATACGTACCTGTATCAAGTAGATGTTATTTTTTGTAGATTATGCTTAACAGTAAACTCATATGTAACAGCTGAAGAATAGAAAATTTATAAAATTACAAAACAAACTTGTAAAGAAACAAACTCAGCACATGGTCTTATTGTAATTCCCAAGTGCTTGATTAAGAAAATTTCAAAAGCTCAATAACAAAAAGGAAGTGTGTAATTGTGCTTTTCCTAGCTATATATGTTAGAAAGCAAAGCAAAAATGGGAGCTCATTACTAATATGTCTGAGCTCCCATCATCATCAAGCTATGGGGAGGGGAGGGGGAAGGGAGACGGGACGGGACGGGGCGGGGCTGCTCAAAGTAAAAACTAGAACTAAGCAGCCGAAGGGGCACTTCTTCCTTGAACAATGTCACTGAGTGGTTCCGGGTCAAGCAAAGTAGCAACAGCAGGAGCCGCCTTCAAATCCGATGACTTGTCTTCGTAAATATCCCACCATTTCTTAACCAGCATTTTTATGTCTTCTCTCTCCATGTTATCCTCCTCCCCTGTGTACCTCCATGGCTTTGATCCCTAATAACATTAATTCATGATTAATTAGTATTACTAATAATAATCCATCTTATGAATAATAATTTATTGGTTAATCCATTTATGATATCCAATCCAATAACTCACCGCAGCACAGTAGTGAACAACTTTGAGTGCATCAAGCTTCACATTCTCAGGGTGTCGCCATAGCATAGCCAAAACAAAGTTGTACTCGGAAGGGATAGGCTTATAGATATCCTTAAAGAACACGTTCAACAAGTCCTGGAACACAGAAAAGAATTAAATTCCCAAAACTATGATTATTAATTTATTAATGAGGAAAATATCAGCCATAATTAATTAATGAAGTACCTGCTCAGCAAATGGAGTGGGAGGAGTAGCTTGGACGGCAGCCAAGAGGTCATTGTAGGTGGAGATTTTAGGCTCATACACAAACATGCCGGCGTTGAAGTATGGCGGGGGTGGAGACCCTAACTCAGCTGCAGGCCACTGAACCTTTTCCGGGCATTGTTGGCAATATCCAATCTTGTTCTGAGGGGTGTGGCTCCATGTTTTCTCACAGAAGCAGTCCATGACGGCGTACAAGAAGCCATCGGGGAGCTCAAAAAGGTGGTCAATATTCTCAAACACTTGTATGTCTCCGTCCAAATATATCATCTTGCTATACTCCACAAACTATGCAAAACACAATTGAAATATATGTAACCGCACACAAAAGGATCCGTGCATGCATGCAAGAATATTATACTAGAATTAGCTAGGGTATATTTATCACAGAAAGTCTCCGCGAAGGATTTTATGCAAAATATATTAGTTAAAGACTTTTAATCTCAATTATTGGATGGCATTAAAAAAATATGTAACATACTAAACATATGTAATGGATGACTGAGATTATAAATCCTTAATTAATTCTTAACACAAATCCTTACTGGAGAAGCTCCCTCCGTATATGTTTATATGTAGTGAATACCTTAAAAATCCGAAGCTTGGAGTAGTTGATGACATAATAAGCCATGGCAAACTGGGTTTGGTGGTTCTCCGGCAGGTAGACCGGCTCGATCTCCCGGACAATACAGCCTTGGGATTCAAGAATGTCCCTGTGATCCTGGGGAACATCAGGAAGCACCGCCACGACAAGTGGGTATTGGGACTTGGCCTTTCTTAAGCCCTTAGCCAAACCCACAACTCCATTCACATAGTCTTTATTGCCTGCCAAGAAGGTGACATAGGCTTTGCTCACGGGGTCCATATGATTTGATTAGCAAATGACGAGACCAAGAACAATACAAGAAACAAATCAACAGACAGAAGAAAGATGGGGGTTGGAGGGTTTTGGAGAAGGGTTTCTGGGTCTTTATATAAGATTTTGGAAGGAAATCTATTGATAAGACTTGTATCTCATGCAAGATCTTGATTATATTGCCATTTATACGCAGAATGCGAATAATTATTTGTTGATTATATACTACTCATTTGATCAGAAGGGATGATCAGTTCTAAATGGAAATTAATTTATTGTAAACCGAAATGAGAGATGAATTTTCAAGAAATTAGCCCAATAAAAAGGGTCATAAAACGTTGCGTCGGTCCCAAGAAAATTTAAAATTATCCATTTATCCGAGATTCGAAAGCAACTTCGATCAAGAGTATTAATTGCTTCCTTCGATTCAGAAATCTTATGCTCATTTTCTACGCGATTGATTAATATATTGCAATCTATTTTGTGAGAATCAATCCAGTAACAACAATGTTTTCGGGTTTCAGATTTTATATATATTTTGAAAAATAATAATAATAAAATTGAAAGCATTACGGTGACTCCCAAACATTCCCTTTCTGGCATGAGTATTCATTTCCTCAAATGTCAATGAACAAAAGAATATTCCATTTTATAATCAAGTATTATTTATGTACTATTGTGTCGCAAGTATACAGTTTCGGAATATTCTATGTATATTCATTTTATGGATTCCGAAAAAATTGAGGAGAAGAAGAATAGAGAGAGAGAGAGAGAGAGAGAGGATTGAGGGGCTCGGAAAAGGGGAAATACTTCCCTATTCCCGTTTCATTGTCCCTTAGGAAGTCTTTTTTGTAGAAAATAAGCTCAGGACGTAATCAAAATCACCAATTGATCCGTTGGGAGATATCACTGATTTCTTGATGATCAAACTCAATTAACATCCACCACCATCTTGCTTGATCATCGTCCTCAGCCTCAGTCCTAGTCGTTTACCGATTAACTTCTTTATTACAAAATGAAGTTGACCGCTTTTAGATTCCGAAAAATTGTAAGCTGGAAAAAACATAGTGAAATGGATGTCTTCTAATATCACCAGTTGTATAATTGCATGGCCTAGTCGATGTGACAGACGATAACTAACTGATACACAATGATGGAACAACAATTGCAAGAACAGAACCAAAACCCCATGCTTTGTGGAGTACGGTACCAAGTTAAAACAACATAAGAAACAGATGCCTTGTTTACGAGGATACAACATTTTAAGTTCCTTCTATATTGTGAATTAGCTACTATTGCATGTAGAACTGCAGCTATTTGGCTACCAGTCATGATTTATATAGAATATCATCCAGCAAAACTTACCAAAGGGTAGAACTGATTGATTTATATCTTTTTGCGCAATGTTTGGGAACTTCCAATCAAATTCATTTTTTCACACCTTCATTGTAATCTATTTGCCAGCTAGGCGTGCTCAATTTAAGGTATGTCAGATAAAGTTCTGGAAAACATAACTCAAAACAAATCAAAGCCACGACAATATATAAAGGTAACAAGATTTGTTGTGAGTTATGTTCTCCAGCCCTGCTTATGCTAATATTTGAAGATATGATACAAAAGACATGTATGGGAGGAGCTTGCTTACCCAATACCCAAGAGAATAAAGCAAGCACTCCCTCCAGCCTCTAGAAATACAAAACGCAGACCAGGCCAAACAGAGCATGAACTTCAGCTAAGTTTTCACCCTTATAATCCCATGTTCTCATTGTGACTCACACACTGGTCGGAATAAACGACCAGTGAATCACTGACAAACCTCATCCCAAAATAACTAAGCCAATTTTGATCCACGTAATGGAAGATCCATGATACCTCCAGTTACATACATTCCGAGGTATGAGGGAAAGAATTTATACCAATCGATTACTAAGAAATTGAAATAACTACTACTGGTACCAGAAAATGGAACGGCATTTAACAAAACAAGTATCAACCAGTAACCACTATTGGTTCAGCAAGCGTCAAACTTAATTATACCTCTGAAGTGAGATCTAGTTCAAGCATTGCACATACCCAATTAGAATTCAAATACCAATGCATTGGTGACCAACAAATGAGGATTGGGTTTCAGAAATCTCTTGACTATACACGGTGAAATAACACCCATAGACCACAAATCCCATATCTTCCAAGCAACAGCTGACAACTGAACTCTCAGCTGTTGCTTGGAAGACTTGTAATGCTCGGACAATCTTATAGCCACAAACTGCACTGTCAGGTGTCACGACCTGATCAGCATAACCAATACGTACAATAATAGTAACTCGAGCCAATCCATGATGAATGAGAGGGAGAAAACTCACACACAGGTACCACGGGAGCTTTTACCCAATACACTTGGAAGTACACCAAAGATCTACGTCAATCCAACTAACACCCCATTAGTAATCACATCACAAGTATACTTTGCACTAAATAATTATGCTGAACAACAAAGTAAATGATAATAGTGATGTAATGAGATATTCCAATAAAGTAGACCATAGGTTCCATCTAATTTTGCACACACTTTTAGCAGCACTATGAACTTCACAAGTTCATCTAAATTACAAGTTTTAGATCAAATGAGTGAAACAAAGTTTGACAGCTTCTACATTCTGAAAAATTATAAGCTTCGCTCAGTGTATATTTAGGAAAAGAATACTCCTCCGATTGTATATTTGTATGGCCTAGCCACTATGACAAACGATAATGAACTGATACACAACAAATGGAACAACAATTTCAAGAAAAGAAACAAAACCCTACGCTTTTGTAGAGTGCCAAGTTAAAACAACAGTAGAAAAAGAAGCTAGACTATCATCGTCTGTATAAGCGTTGTTCATGAACACAGCATCATTTGTCCTTGTCTTCAGTCAATGCTTTGTTGTCCACATAAGGATATTCAGGTGGGGCAGACCATAGACCAACCAGTATTACAAAGTGGAGGCAAAAAAGCAATGCCGATGAGTAAAGACTTGAAGCATACACATTCCAGCAGAACTCCACCCCGATAAACAACATTACACTGCCCCAAACAACATTGAATCAACAAATGACCATTCTCAAAGTAAATCATGCAACAATCATTGCAAGCTATGCAGCTCATTATTCAAGGATAGAGCAGCCTACCGTAGTAATGTAGGAAAAGGCGTTTTCCACAAGAGATAAGGTAAGCTATGGAAATACCTGCACTCAGACACATTATGATCTTTGAGCCCTATAAACAAAATGAATCCATAACAATAATAGTAACTCGAGCCAATCCATGATGCAGCTTAAGATTACTAAACTCCATGGCTTATACAGTTATAACATACAAACACAAGTCTGAACTGGTTTCCAGACAACATGAAAATTAAAAATATAATGTCTACCCAGAAGCCACAAAATTGAACAGCAAACAATAAATAATCTCTCTGATTTTAATTTGGGAAGTAATACAAATTTATAAGGAACAAAATAATACTATCTCCACACCTAACACGAAATATTAGGCACAGCATACACATCGTAACACATCCTACATCATCCAAAAACACGAGGTAAACAAGAGCTGAACTACGAAGACGATACCTTAACAGCCTTAAATTCTGGATGAAGCAATCCAAGTTCATCTTTAACCTCAAGTGGATTGCTTGTTTCATTACGAACTCTCTTAACCCTCCTACTACCCAATGAGCTGTGTGTGAATCCATAGATTTGAAGAACCTGATTGTCCCCGAAGTTAAAAGCTCTATCCATCTGCTTCAAGCATCTCTCAACTGGGTAATCTCCAAACTTTCCACATGGCTTGCAACCAACAAAATGTGTCACTAGCGGCCACCTGTGGTCGCCCAAACCAGGATGATAATTCTCAATCATTTCCTCATATCTATCAACCAAAATCCCCCAATAACCATGCAAATAATATGCATTCTCCAGATAAACCTTATCACCCCACTTCTCTCTTTGAGTGGCCAATATATAAACCATGGCTGACTGATCATCAGCTTCGAATACCGGCCTACCCTTGAGCTCCCTAGTGAGTATCTTCCCAGCCTCATCCCTAATTTTCCCTTTAGGTCCCATAGGAGCCCAAGTATCAAGCATATCTAACGACCACTGGGTATTCCTTAACAAGAAGCTCCCGGTATTGAGCCCAATCCAATTCTTTTGATCATAAACCATCTCATTCCATCCATGCATTACAAAGTCATAATCTTTGTACCTCTCCCAGGGTACTTCAAAAGCCATATCTGTAAACATGGCATCACTATCCATCCACCATAGAAACTCAACCTCCGGGTGAGACAAAAGGAGCTTCCGAATCAACGGAAGCTTGGCCCAAAAACCAGCCATTTCAGCATCCAAAAGGGCCATATTGTAAAAAACCTCAATCCCATGCAACCTACAATAATCGATTTTGTTCTTAATCGACTTCAACAAGTAATGGTCACCTACCGGGTTCTCACAGGGTTTTGGCGACGACCCAGTCACCAGAAGCACTCTAGGCTTATTGGGTCCGATGAAATTTGGGAAATTAGTGTTTTCCTTAAGCCATTTCGATCTCTGCTCGTCCCAATTTGAAATCTTGGGTCCAAGAGTGTAGGGCTTATTGGGGTCGGGTCTGTCTTCCTCTCCTTCGTCGACCAAGATCTTGTTGATATCGAAGGCATTGTAGTTGTTAGGATCGGCCGGCGTTGACTGGACCTCCTGAAGGACGCGGTGAGGCTCTGCTCGCTTGCGAGAGTAGAAGTGATCACGAATCTCGATGAAGTCCTGCTCCGGAGTTCCAAACTTGCCGGCTCCGACTGTGCCACGTAGGACGACAACAGTGAGGACGAGACACAGGATTGTGACCTTGCCATGGCGGAGAGCGCTATGGATCCTTCGCGTTCTTTGAGCTCCTAAACATTTCTCTAATATCATAATTGACAATTGAACGCGAACCTCAATTGAACAAACAAAGCAAAAGGCAGATAAATCAGGATTTCGGATTTGGCGGGTGGGAGTAGATCTGGAAACTCCAGGATCCCAGACAGAACCGTAAGCTAATGTGTGAAATTTGGATTCTGTAAAATGTTAACTATACGCGTTTGTTAAATGTTTCTAGTTTGGGCCTTTGGAGTATGGACCCGACTGAGGCCACTACGATCTCTTATATGAAACGAATGACAATCGAAAATAGTGCAATCGAAAATAGTCTTTAACTTGCAAATTCTTAGGTTCTAAATAATTCTAAATTAATCTAATTTATGTGAAGGAAGCTTCAAACCAATTAATTCAATGTACAAGGAGAAAGATGCGAATGCAAAGGGAACATGCTCACAACTCGAACTTGGAACATGTTCGCTACCCGAACTCGAGTGCAATACCAACTAATTTAACTCACATATGCTATTATGGTCTGTTTTAAAGGCAAAGTAATAAATGTGAAAATCACCTGACACCATATTTTATTTTATTTTTGGGTTGTTGCCAAAGTTAAGAAATGAGAGGGGAAAAACTCACACACGGGTACCACGGGAGCTTTTACCCAATACACTTGGAAGCACACCAAAGATCTAGGTCAATCCAACTAACACCCCATTAGTAATCACATCACAAGCATAATTCTAAATATCAATAATATCGACGAAATATAGAGGATATTTCGGTTTTTTCGAATCACGGATATTTCGGAACATATCTATGTACATAAAAAAATAAAAAATAAAAATAAAAAAAGGGAAAAAAGGGAGGAAAAAAAAAACACAAAGGGGATTTGAACCCCTCCCATTTTACTCCTCCAACACCTTAACCACCAGATATCACTTATGTATTAGTAATAATATGCTAAAATATTTATATTTATATGGGTGACATGTTAACAATTACATGCAAAACTATTTTGGGGATTTATCATTTGATGAATACCCTTCACAATACACTTACTCTACACATAGAGATGATGAAGATAGTGAAAAATTTGAACCTCATAGGAACTCTATGTGGTACTAAGTCACTCATGTATCTTACCATACAATGTATAAAGCGTAAAATATTGTAGTAAGTCATTATATATAAATGATTATGGTGTATTTTATCTTTTTTTCATTAATTACACATATTTTCTAAACTCACAGTGTTTGCTAGCTCGCTGTATAATCAACTTAAATTAGTTAAATCTATCATGTAATGCATTTCCTTCTAATTTTTTTTGATAAACTAATAGATAATTGACTAAATAAACGTTCTCCAAAGTTTCAATAAAAATTTCCAAGTTTTTCTTACAATTTTCGTGGTTTTTATTCAATTTTTATCGATATCGATAATATCCCGATATTTCCATTGAAATTTCCATGTTTTTGGACTACCAATATTTCCGATATCATTGATATTTTAGCATGATCACAAGTATGCTTTGCATTAAATAATTATGCTGAACAACAAAGTAAATGATAATACTGATGTAATGAGATCTTCCAGTAAAGTATACCATAAGTTCCATCTAATTTTGCACACACTTTTTAGCGGCACTATGAACTTCACAAGTTCATCTAAATTACAAGTTTTAGATCAAATCAGTGAAACAAAGTTCGACAGCTTCTACTATCCGAAAAATTATAAGCTAGAAAACATTGAAAGATGGATCATCAATCAACTCAGAATCACTGCGACGCCATAGTAGATTTCTGAGCCAGTGTAGATTTGGGGAAAGAATACTACTCCGATTGTATATTTGTATGGCCTAGCCACTATGACAAACGATAATGAACTGATACACAACAATGGAACAACAATTTCAAGAAAAGAAACAAAACCCTATGCTTTTGTAGAGTGCCAAGTTAAAACAACAGTAGAAAAAGAAGCTAGACTATCATCGTCTGTATAAGCGTTGTTTATGAATAAAGCATCATTTGTCCTTGTCTTCAGTCAATGCTTTGTTGTCCACATAAGGATATTCAGGTGGGGCAGACCATAGACCAACCAGTATTACTAAGTGGAGGCAAAGAAGCAATGCCGATGAGTAAAGACTTGAAGGATACACGTTCCAGCAGAACTCCACCCCGATAAACAACATTACACTGCCCCAAACAACATTGAATCAACAAATGACCATTCTCAAAGTAAATCATACAACAATCATTGCAAGCTATGTAGCTCATTATTCAAGGATAGAGCAGCCTACCGTAGTAATGTAGGAAAAGGCGTTTTCCACAACAGATAAGGTAAGCTATGGAAATACCTGCACTCAGACACATTATCATCTTTGAGCCCTATAAACAAAATGAATCCATATATCTAATAAACCACGCGATATCATCCAGCAAAACTTACCAAGAGTAGAACTGATAATGCAATGATCGAGCACATAGGATGCCGATGAAATTCCCGACAAACATCGTTGTCACAATATCTGAAATCACCGAGCCCAAATTAGTATCAGTTAAAAAGGACAAGTAGGAAGGCAAAAAGTTTATTACGGAGCCTGCAACTTACATTCTTTGCTAAGAACCTTGATGGATGAATGGCTATTGTAGGACTTCTTCAAAGAGAATGAACTTGTAAGAGCAAGTTCGAATTTTATAGGATCAAGTCTAGAGTACAAAAATTTGAAAAGTCCACCTTCCTGCCTGCACGTGACCCATTACCACAACATATTCAGCAAAAAGACATAAATATGTGGCCATCTCTAAGTACACCACTTGTCAAGACAGTAGAGAGTTGCATGTTATTGTAGACAAGAGCCTAGCTTAGTTCCCACTTGTGAGTTGAGTGGTACAGCATAGGAGGTTGTGATACTCGCATGTAGAAATATGTCAAGGGCAGAAGAAATGTTTTCTTCGTAATTTTAATTTTATAACTTCCCAACAAAAATTTAGCTTGTGGATAAAAATAGGATGATCCTCACACCTTCCGTCCACATTTTCCATGCCACTTCCCATTATGACTTATAAAGAAGAAGATGAGCACTTTACTTACATGCACCATCTATAATGAGCAAAAGCGGTAAGTAAACCAAGGTGTGCAATCAGCAAAGAGATTGCAAATGCCTTCGAAACAAATATTGGCTCAGGAACGAACTTGAAATTGACAGACCTAAAAAATAGACTGCATGTTATTTTTCAACAAAAAGTAGACGAAATAACCAAGAAAATAAATTTCAAATGAATACTAGACTGCATATATTTCTAAATGTGCTAAAAAAATATTTGAATGGAAAAGGTCCTCTTAAATATCTTTAATTATAAGGTCAAAGAATGTACCAGAAGTGGATAAAGACACGGCCAAGATTAAACGCTCTTGAGATGTATGCAAATGGATGAGACAAGATGAAAGGTATTCCCAAAAGTATCTGCAGAACCATTCAGCAAGTAGCTGTCAACAAATGAACACCATAACTGGACTTGCTCTTGAAATGAGGATCTTGAGGTCTAGCTCACCTAAAAACGTTGGAATAAAACACAAACATTCAACTTCCACATTATCAGAGTTGCTTAATCTGTGAATTCTAAAAATGAAAAAATAAACATAATAGAACGTAAATCAAGGCTGCAAACTTTTTTCACGCCTATGCAGGCATTAGTCTGTTGAAAACAAAAGGGAAGACATAAGCACCTGGACCAGTGCTGCACCAGATAAAGCTGATATCACTCCACCTATATTCATAGCCTGTAAAAGATGTGTTGCTATCTGAGAAATTTTAACAAATAACTTGAGCCAAATTTAAAGAAATATAGTTTTACACAAATTAATATTACCCTTAACATAAGGAGTAGTAGAGGTGGAGCATAGAGGAGCACATTCATCTTAACCGAAACAGCTCCACTTTGACAGATCACAAAAAGCAAAGTTAAACAATTATCATTTACCTCGACAAAAGTTCATCAAGGATATAAGAATGCTACCTGAAAATGATCAGCCCTAGATGCCACCTTTGGTGAAGAAGTGAGACCAACGAAGCATGCAGGAGCATCATGGCCAAACAGTCATTAAAAAGACGGAGCACAAAAATAGAATGCATTCTTTTTGATAGGCAAAGCAAGCTCATAGCCCACCACGGAACCTGCACAACAATTAAAGAACATTGGAAAACAAAATCAGAGCTGAGACATAAGGGACAATTACAGTTTGACACAAAGTTAACAGCTGAGTAAACAATCAGCAGTTATCCACAAAATCAGACAACATTTCTTTGAAAACTGAAAAATGCATGTAAAATGAGTAATTCAATTTTGTCATACCACATCTGTCTTCCCATAGATGAATAATATGATTCCCAAGTTTATAATGTACAAAACCCCGAACAAAATCTGCAAAAATGAAATAGAATAGAAACCATGAGATTAAAAATTATGGGTAAACCATACAAGAAAAACATCGATAATAAAATTCGTAATCCGAAATAGAACAGATTACCTGAGCTGGATAAACTTCGCCTCCTGTAACATACTGAAAAGCAGAATAAAAATATAGGAAACCAGCAGGATAGACCAGTGGCCCTGTGTCGCCTTTTAAGTTACTATAATCCCTTTCTCCATCAAGAAACCCACTAACCTGTCAATTGACTATTGTTATTTTCTCGGCAGATTTCTAAGGAACCAAACAGGGAAGAGGAAAAAAAAAAAGAGATTGAGGAAGATCACCCACTTGTGACATATAAGCGTCCCAATCTATCTTCGTATCTGAAACCAAACACTTATGCTATGACCAATCCACATTCATGCACACATACAGACATACATACATATGTGTAATTGGGTGCGTGAGAGAGAAAAAAAATCTTACAAGGGACATAAGCAATGATGAGGGCGACGAGGACCGCATCGCAGAGGAGCAAAGCGAAAGCGAAGGCTACCTTAGGGCTTTTTAATAACTTGATGTTTGAAGCCTTAGAACTCCGCTGCTGCGACGGCTTCACCCGCCTCGCCGATTTGACCGCCATGGTTGAATCGTCCTTGGACCTGGAGCTACTGGAGCACGAGACTCTGGTCAGTGGTCACAACGTGCAAAAGCCAAAAGAAGGCCTTACCGTTGGATTTGAATACTAAGCAAGATCTGACCTTGCTGAGAATCGGACCAGTTATTGATGAACAGAAGCTCAGGCTCAATCAAACCAACAGCATAAGAGTTATGACTTGGCTGGCCCGATAGTGAAATAAACCCAGAAGGTTAAGCCCAATATAGGTCCATTGTGGGGACAAGGATGTACATTCACTAGTTTTTTAAATTTTTTTTAAATTTTATGGTAAGTGAAAATATGATCAACGAAAAAAGATGCGAGCTCGATATACATTGATTGGTACTCTTTCCACGATAGCTTAAGTTTTTGATATAGTGGTGATTTCACATGTATATCTTTTGTTTTTTTGTTGACAAAGTGATATTCTAAACTACTCTAATGTACGAAAAGAGAGATCAAACTCGAATGCAATGAAGCGGATACACTATCTTAATCAATTAGTCTAACCTAAATGTGCACTGTATGCATTATTTTGTCTCACCCCGTGAATAATAGGATTTCACATATGAGAGGATGTCGATTTTATACATTATTGGAGCCCTTAAACTTTTGAATACTAGTGGTTGTTTAACTGTTTTGCAAATCACAATTTTATTTATACTTTTACTTAGCCAAGAATGTGAACGTGTTTGCTCCATGAAGTCCAAATAGCGGGCTACGCTGTGGGGAGAGTTGAGGTGGAGGAGAGAGAGAGTGAGTCAGTTGAGTTGAGTTGAGTTGTGGTGTGATTTGGATGAAGACAAGTTGAACAAGAGTCGTCTTCCCTCGCAATTTTATCCAGTGTGTGAGTCACCGTGATAAACCGACATTGTGGTTTTGGTTCTAATTCTCTAAGCCAAGCCACGTGGTGGTTGCACTCAACTTCAACATCCACAGCAGCACACAACAACTAGCCAAATGTAAAACACCAACGCAACCATTGGAGCATTGCTGCTGTGTGCCCGTGCTTGCTACCATATCTACAATCTCTCTCACCCACGTGTATGTATTCCACCAAGCCATCCGCTACTTGCCTCCTCCTCCGCCCACGTGTCTCTCCATTTTCCTACTTTCTCAAACTGATTTAGACCCTTAAACTCGCTCTCCTCTGTATAACCCCCACCTGAAATTCCTCCAACAGAAACCATACGCAGAACAAACAAACACACACACTCTCTCTCTCTCTCTAGAATATGGATTCCCAGAACCTCAAACAACGCAGAACAGACGATCCCAACACCGCTGCCGCCACCACCACCATGAACAAGAGCAACTACAAAAGCAAAAAGGATATGAGAATGGACATGGCCAAACGCGGCCTTAGGTCATTGGCCATAGCGGTTGCAATCCCTGTCTCTCTCCACCTGCTTGCTATTTACTTGGGCTCCACCGACAACTACCCCACCGGCTCCTCCAAGCCCTTCTGGTTCCCGCCCTTGTGGGCCCTGCGATTCATTTGCATGGCTTCCAGTTTCTTGATGGGTCTCTCGGCTTGGCTTGTGTGGGCTGACGGTGGCTTCCACAAGAATCCCACGGCTCTGCCTCTTTATCTGGCCCAGCTAGGATTGAATTTGATTTGGGATCCGATTGTGTTCGGGGCAGGAGCGCCTTGGGTCGGGTTGCTGGTGTCCATGGGGATGTTTGGGACTATGGTTGCCTGTACTCGGGTGTTCAAGAATATCAATCCAGTTGCAGGTGATCTGATGAAGCCCACTTTGGCATGGGTTGCCTTTCTGGCCATTGTAAATCTTAAGCTCGTGTTCCATTGAAAATTTCATGTACAAAGCTTTAGTATCTTGACATATACGGTGTTGTTGTGTAAGCATTTCTCAATATGATGATTATGAGCTTAATGTGTACCTTTCTTCTGGACTTAGGCCCGTTTGGGATTGTTTTCTCCACCAAAAATCTTTAAAATCACAACACATATATACTTTGCACTAATTAATTATGCAAAACAACAAAGTAAATTATAATAGTGATGTAATGAGATCTTCTGATAATAGTGTCCATCTCATTTTGCACACACTTATAATGGCTCTATGAACTTCACCGGTTCATCAAAATTGTAAAATTGAGATCAAATCATTACCAATGCTAAGTTGGTCCCAGAAAGGATTCATCTTGGTCACTGGAATCTTGGATAATCAGCTTCCCTCAGCATCATTTCTGAATTGGCTCCAATTGCAGTGTTTTAATCTCTGTGATTTCCAAATAGCGGGCTACGCTGTGTTTTAATCGATTAGTGTGATCTCTTTTAGATGTAGTTTTCATTTTCAAGTTACAATAATCTTACTATAAACCTAAGCTTTGTGTAATGGTCGCTATTTTGTCGAGGCATGTAATTATTTGATGGACTTTAATCTCTCAGCTTTTTCTGATAAGTGTTGCTGCCTTGAAGCTCTTCATTGCCATTTATATTGTCGTTGGTTACTTAACTTGCTTCTGGTAGACTATTTGAACTCATGTTTTTATTGCACAGAACTGGCTTTGAAGAGGACAAAAAAAATTCATGTTGTGTTGAATTCTGTGATAACCGCGCTATCAAGTCATCAAATATCTTGGATCAGCTGCTCTCAGCAAAGCTATGCAGGCGCATGATCTGCATACAGGCATGGATGTTTGTGTGAGAATTATAAAGAACAACGAAGATTTCTTTGATCTGAGCCTTGATGAGATAAAGCTTCTCAAATACATCAATAAGCATGATCCTGCTGACAAGTACCACATTCTACATTTGTATGATTACTTCTATTATCGAGTAAGGGAATGTACAATTTTGATACTTACCTTGTTTGGTTTTGAGCTTTTATAATATTTCGACATAGATTTTTGTTTAATACGTGCACATTTGCTAGATTTGAATTACTTGTCTTTCATTGTCTTGTGTATGTGTGACCCGTATGCTTTGGGGCAGTGCCTTTCTGCTAGCATGGAGATGGCAACACTTGAAAGTTTTGTATATGGCTTCTTGTGGTTAGTCATTATACTATTGAGCTTCCTTTTTGGGGATGTTTCGTACTGACATATATTATATTGACAACTTGCTTCTCGTGTTTAGTGTATTGATCTCGTTTATGGAATGATGCATTGCATATTAATCTGAAATGAATGATAACTTGATTTGCATTCCACTTTATTTTGTAGTTTCTCAAATACACATGATTAACCGAGGAGAAAAGTTTCAATCAATCTAAACATAATCAAGTTGTGGTACCCTAAAGCTGTTAGTAAGTATTTAACCTTCTCTCCTGATACAGGATCAACAACAGGCAGGGTTATTGACCACAGCTTGCTTCATAAACGCATTACCCTTGGTTGCACGAAACAGAATCCTTTCAATTCAAAGGCCATCGATTTTTCTCCAGGAACAAGACCACTAAGGCCATCTCTAGCAATGGAGGGCTAAACATAGGCCACCCATGAAATTTAGTCCATCATTTACAATTTTTTAAGAAATGGGACCACTAAGGCCATCTCTAGCAATGGATGGCTAAACATAGGCCAACCATAAAATTTAGCCCATCATTTATAATTTTTTAAGAAATGGTGTTGGTCTATATTTTTTAAGACATAGGCCACCGATTGTGTTCGGGGCAGGAGCAACTTGGGTCGGGTTGCTGGTGTCCATGGGGATGTTTGGGACTGTGGTTGCCTGTACTCGGGTGTTCAAGAATATCAATCCAGTTGCAGGTGATGTGATGAAGCCCACTTTGGCATGGGTTGCCTTTTTGGCCATTGTAAATCTTAAGCTCGTGTTCCATTGAAAATTTCATGTACAAAGCTTTAGCATATTGACATATACAGTGTCGTTGTGTAAGCATTTCTCAATATGATGATTATGAGCTTAATGCGTACCTTTCTTCCAGACTTAGGCCCGTTTGAGATTGTTTTCTCCACCAAAAATCTTTAAAATCACAACACATATATACTTTGCACTAATTAATTATGCAAAACAACAAAGTAAATTATAATAGTGATGTAATGAGATCTTCTGATAATAGGGTCCATCCCATTTTGCATACAGTTTTAATGGCTCTATGAACTTCACCAGTTCATCAAAATTGCAAAATTGAGATCAAATCATTATCAGAATTATACATAAAATCACGAACTTCAACAACCTGAAATATATATATATATATATATATATATATCAAATGTAACAAAACATTTATGCATGCTGATTTTTCTAAGAGTGATTTATGCACTAAGCTTCTTGCTCAATCCTATAGGAAAGGCAACCTTGTAAGTCCATCCAAGCTGAAACTGGCTCTAAAAATTAGACACCAATGCTAAGTTAGTCCCAGAAAGGATTCATCTTAGCCACTGGAATCTTGGATAATCTGCTTCCCTCAGCATCATTTCCAAATTGGCTCCATTTGCAACAGAGATTAGACAGTCCCAGTGAAACCTACCAATACTAAGTGCTTTCCCGGTTCAATCTGATCCTCAATTTCAATCCAGCAGACACATTTTCACCCACAAATGTGACACAGGTGCTACATAGGAACCAGGTTTCCTCCACATTGATCGAAGTTCCAAGTCCTACCACCACTAACGTATTTGATGACCAAAAGGAATTGAAAAAAGAAAATATTCTGCTGGTTATTAATGACCTACTCAACTTGGCAAAGCTTCCTCAGTGTTATGGAGATTCTCCGCTTCTGATTTAGTTCCTCCCCTTCCCACTTCTGAAATCCAGGCATGCGGTTAATCTCATGCTTCCAAAGGTACCTTGATTCTCCTGACATAAAAATTAGGGATCCCTGGGTAAGATAAACAGGAATCTTGGCCATGGGAGGATCCTTTTCACCATCCATTACAAAGCCCCTGCTTGTTCCATCAACTGGACTGAAATGCATCACGCATGATGACTCCAGGGAGAGAATGGCAATTCCATCTTCAAATCGCATAAGGTCAATGTGTGCACAGATCCCCTGCACAAAAATGCCGGGAGGAGGGGTGATGTCAACCTCACTTGTTGTCCTAGTAGCAGTATATCAAATGCACATAGTTGATGGTAAAACAAATGGTTGAAACTTTAATTATTTTGAAGAATACAGTATTATGCTCATTATGAAGACATAAAGCAATGTTTACTTCAATATTTTAGATAGAAATCAACATCTGGGACTAAAAAAAGAAATTTCTCATGCCATAAATCTCATACCTCACCTGGTTGGTAAGAATTTAGAATTAGTTGGTCGAAGAGTGGCTCTCTGCAGAAAAGATCTGATGGAAATGAACATGCATTCTGGTTGACATTATCAGTACTTCCCAATACTATAGGTTCAAGAACAAAGTCACTCGCAAGTACAACCTTGCGAATAGAATGCGAAAGCTCAGCTGCCCATGATGGAAGGTCTCCAAATCTCATAGCCTACAGGGAAAGGAAATTCTTTCAGTTGGCAAGTGGGATGGATGATATTCAATTGGCTTATGTATGCATCACTCGTTCTCTTCAATACAGGTGATCAGCAAATTTGACAACCAAACTAGTATCAGCAAATCCATACCAAAAACAAAGGACAAAGCTTATATTCCTTGTCTTCTATCTCAACTTTTTATTTGATAAAGCAGATAGCATACATTTCAAATAGAGTTTGCCAATTGGGGTATTAATTGAAATGCTTTTCATATACAGGCTAACCAGATTTTGCATATCAAAATCCCATCTTCCCCATTTAATTTTATGCATTTCAATAAAGAAACGCACCATGCCAATCCATAATTTGCATCCTAATATGTGTATGCATATGGGATTATGCGCACCTGATTGTGAGAGGCTTGAGTGAACCATCCTTCTGCAACCACAAGTTAATAAAAGCCACTACATATGAGATTATTGCAGACAACACCAACAAGCATACATATTTAGTTCACTTAACAAGTTAAACTAATCTTGAAAATTGAAAAGAGACTATGAGTGAGAAGGAGACGCACCGTTTTGGATTGTGGAGAGCAAGGAAGACTGGCGTTGAGGAGGAAGGAAGTCTCTGCACAACCACAACCCTTTGATTTCTTTGATTGGTTCCCAGCAATGGCTTGGGTCAGATCCATCTCCCAATTCCAAGTCCTCGCCGTCCGATGAGTCGCCGAACACTTGCCTCAGAATTTCCTCGTTGGCAGCATCCATTTCCTCGTTGTAATTTTGATCAGGCAAAAGCTAGTAATTTTAATAACAAAAAGTCATTTTTTATCTCCGTAATTTACCTGTTTAATCACTTTGAAATTACCATAATTGAAAAACCACATAAATAAATAAAATTTGAAAAACCCAACATAATCAAAAAAGACTTTTTGCACCGTTGATCTGATGTAATGTTAAACTACTTTAAACCATTGATTTTGACGACTGGTTTGTAAAAGAACCGCTCGTACGGTACGCACCGTAGCGCAGTATCCTCAGCCTCGTCGTAGGTGATTGCTGATTGGATGAATCAAACAGACGCCTCGGCGATCGTGCCACGCCAAGTGGATTGCGTTTGCATAGCCTTTCGTGCCATGCACAGAACAGTTCACCCAGCATGTCGACACGTACCAGTTGCAGTGTCATCCTTAGAGGTCCACGTGTCACCATCCTGTATGACCACCCCATGCTGCCCTCGCTTCATCTGAGCCGTCCATATATTCCTACCAAGTACCAACAGAGGAAGACTTCCCCGGGAAATCCTCCCGTTGACACATTTGACCGTATCCACGGATTCAAGAAGCGCCAAGTGGCAAAAATATCTCATCGTGACCGTAGATTTTCTTGGAGATTGTCGCCCAAGGTTGGGCTCCCTATAAAGACGGTACAGTTGCAACGCTTCTCTTCGTCTTCCTCGTTTCAATTCAAATAGTGATTCAGAAGGTTTTCTGTTGAAAAGGCATCAAAATTTTATACACAGAGCGAAATGGCGGATTCAGAAGCTAAGCAGACAACAGAAACGGTAAACACTCTCTCTTCGTCTTTTGTATTTTCTTGTGTGTGAGCTTCGTTCTGCTTGGTTTGCAAAAGCTCCGTTTTCCGGCAAAAATGGATCAAGAAGTTGATTTTGTGTTTTGTTTTTTAATATCGTATTTGGGATCTTGAACGAAGGCGCAAGTGAATGAGAAAAACCTCAAGTATATGGAGTTTGTTCAAGTGGCGGCGATTTACGTCATGGTGTGCTTCTCGAGCCTCTACGAGTATGCAAAGGAAAACTCCGGACCACTTAAACCGGGGGTTCAGACCGTAGAAGGCACCGTCAAAACTGTAATTGGACCGGTCTACGAGAAGTTCCACGACCTTCCCTTCCAGCTGCTCAAATTTGTCGATCGCAAGGTCAGTCTAATTCCGAAACGAAACCCTAGATTTTGCCGCCTGTTCATTTCTTGATCGTGATCACGTGGTTTGCAGGTGGACGAGTCCTTGAGCGAGTTGGACCGTCACGTGCCCTGTCTTGTGAAGCAGGCGTCGAGCCAAGCCCTCTCTGTGGCTCAGAAGGCTCCGGAGGTGGCTCGAACCGTGGCTTCGGAAGTCCAGCGAGCTGGCTTGGTGGACACGGCTAGGAACCTCACGGTGAGCGTGTACTCTAAATACGAGCCGGTGGCTGAGGAAGTCTTCTACAAGTACGAGCCGGTGGCTGAGCGGTACGCGGTGTCGGCTTGGCGCTCACTGAATGGCCTCCCGCTGTTTCCCCAAGTGGCTCAGATAATGGTCCCTACCGTGGCTTACTGGTCGGCAAAGTACAATCAGGCTGTTGGTTACACGGCCGACAGAGGCTACTCCGTGGCGGCTTATCTGCCGTTGATTCCGACGGAGAGGATTGCCAAAGTGTTTGATGACGCCGAGAATGGCCCTGCCGTTTTGACTAGTCGTGGAGCTGTTGCCATGGAGCAGTGACAACCGTTGATCAGGGCGTTCGTACTTATTTATCTTTTTTATGTGAGTTTTGTTTGGGGCCTGTTTTCCCTGGTCTTGAATTGTAATTCAAGTGGTAACACTGTATGGGCCTCAAGAAAATTTTGGTTGGGTTTCGTTTAGCATAAATTTTGTTTTTGTTTTTGTTTTTGTTTTATTTTAACCGTGTTCTTCAACTAATAAATTTTGTTGAACTTAAGTTTAAGTGATTGAAAGCAGTTTAAGTGATCTAATAGAAGCAGTTCCAATCCAAGTTGTACTAAGCAGCAGAAATAATTTGAAATGCATATAAGTTAACCCAACTGCAATTTACTTCCAGGAAAGCGACAACGAAATTCAAAACTTCTCTTCATGTTGAAATCGCATAATCCTCGAACAGATTCATAACAGCAACATCTTATTGAACATGTGAAACAATGGTAAAACTAAATTCCCTTCCCTCTAGGTGGTTCCATCTCATTTTTTTAACAATAAAGTGAGAGCAAACTCCAGATCAAAACAAATTTAAGCATCATTCAACAAGATCATAACATTGACCTCATTAAAAAAAAAACATCATCTAATGGAAACATATGATGAGTAAATAAAACATAATCTAGTAGATTGAGTAATTCTCACTAGCACTGGGCCAGATAGTGTTGCAGATGGCCCTAACAATCGGAAGAACAGCCACGAGCGCAATTTGAAGTTGTTCAGAGCTGCTTGTTCTAACAGAAATCTGTCCACTGAGCTTGTTGTTCACTCCTGCACGAACAGTCATCTTGTAGTTTCGCCCAAGGGAAAACTGGGACACAAGATTTACCATCAAGGCCAAGTCACCCCTAAACTTCACTAGAGACAGACCAACTGAGGATTGATCTTGGCCAATTGGATAATCTGCTTCCCTCAGCCGCACCTCAAAATTCGCTCCATGTACGGATTCACCCTGCGATCGGACAGTCCCAGCAGTACCAACCAATATCACACGCTTGCCAAGTGCAATCTGATCCTCAACTTTGAGTCCAGTGGACACACTTTCACCTAAAAATGTCACAGCTACTCCGGCACCTGTCTTGTTCCTCTTGAAATTTTTGAATTTGGTGTCTCCTCTGACAATGTATGCAAATTGCTTTCCAATGTTTTGAATGTCAAAACCTGCCATGCTTGATCCATTCTCCCCATGCTTGGCAGCAACTGAGGAATCCAAATGCATAGTGAAATCTTTCTTATCCTTAGTAAGCTGAACAGTAACAGCTGCTGGAAAAGAATTAGCAACGGCTAGACTATGTTCAAGGTTGACACTATCATACCCACAGTCGTGGTCCCACCCTTGGACACCCAATACGGGCCTTGCCGAGAACTGAGAAGTTGGCTCCAATAAGCGGTACCTGTAAGCTGGATTTTCACTATCAAAAGAAGGTGGCAGAACCAAATCAGGTAAAGGTACTGGAACAGCTGCTGGACCACCATTTTCTGGATCTTCTTCACCCAGATAACCGTAATCATCTGCACCAACCTTACCCTTCTTCTTCATTTCTTTCATTCTTCTCAACTCTTCTCTCCACAACTTCTTCTGGAGGAGCTTAACCCTATAATCGTACTCCTCAGTGTACGCCTTCCTCTGCTCTTTGCTAAGCTTAGCAATCTGAGCTTTCTTGAGAGGCTTGAATGATGGAAGCTGATCATACTCATCCTCTTCTTCCTCTTGATCAGAATCAGACAAGTCATCCAAGTCGATGTCTGAATCAGCATTCTCTTGATCAGAAGACAGCTTTGGATGGGGGCGAGGCTGCAACAGCCAATTCAACAAGTATGGAAGAGGAGGTGAACGGGAACGGAAACCAAAGAGCTTACGGTTATCAAATGATTCCTGAGGTTTTGAGAGATTAGTCGCCTCAGATAAAATCTTCATAGAGTAGCTTAAAAGCAATAGCTTGGGTCTCCAACTTTGACCATTAGGGAGCACTTTCTGACCATCTCTATTCTTCCGACAAGAGTGGTGGTTCTCTACAAGACATATTGGACTCATCATACTTGGACTCATAAACCTTAGCTCACCAACAGCTTGTCCAATGGTCTGCTGGAGGATCTGAGACCGCTGAGCAACAAACAACTCATAATTCAGAGGGGAACCTAATGGTCCATCAGGAGGAGCAGAAGCGCCATGGGTTAGAGTGACTATGGTACTTCTCCAAATTGAAGGACCAAAGGCACTAGTAATTGATCTCAATAATGGCACATCATTTAGATCCCTACTTCGGGTATCCAACCGATCCACATAGAGGACAATATCTGGGGCGCATTTTTTCGTGAACTTCTGTACAAGGGATAAGATTTTACGATTTACATTCTGTTCCATTGCAGCAGATTTAAGACCTGGTGTATCAAAAACCCTAATCTTGACTCCATCGACCACTCCAACAATTTCTTTGACAGTAGTTGTTGCAGGTCCAAATGCATAAATTGGGGTCTTTTCTTCACCAAAAATTGAATTTATAGTAGCACTCTTCCCAACACCCGTTTTCCCAAGAACCAGTATGTTCAAGGAGAAGTTCAAATCATCTTTCCCCTCTGCTTCAAGCTGGAGAGCTGTCATCTTCGCAGCATCGGGGCTAAATTCTCGACTGTTTTGCCTCCCTGAAAGAAGAGCTAGGCGGTATAGAACCTGCCTAGCTACTGAATCTTCTGTAGAAACACCTAATCTCTGAACAAGCCTTAAGAATTGAACCCTTATCTGTTGAAACTTTTCCAGTTTCGCTTTCTCTTCATCACTCAAGTTCTCAGATTCTCCCCCAACTGTGACATTTGAAGATGTAAAGAGATTAGAATTGTTTGGTCGTGAAGCAGGTTTCAAAGAGCGGATTGAAGATCCCAAACCAGCAGGACGCTCAATGGAGAAAAGCCGGGATCCATCTGGGGTGGTAATTGTAACATTGCCACCATCTGAGGGAGCAGCTGTTGATGCTTTCAGAAGAGCTGCCAGTGAAGCAGCATCAAATAACTCTTTTCCACCCCCTTCCTCGTCAGTGTCCACTTCTTCATCCGAGTCTGTGACAATCTGGCCATCAATTCTCTGTGAATGATCATGATAACTCTCAGCACCTGAGTAAGAACCAGTACCTGATCCTCGCTCCAATTCTTCCAAGAATTGTTTAGCAGCTTCAGAGCTTCCAAAGATCATACCTTCGTTGTTACCATCTGCTATTGAACCTTCATTCTCCCCTTCATCATCTTGGAGATCCTTATCATCATCATCATCATCATCATCTTGAAGATCCTTATCATTATCTTGAAGATCATTATCATCATCTTCAGTTTCTACCTTTATCTCTCGGTCCAAAATGGAATTTGCGTTCACCGATTCATTGCCACCTTCATCTGGGAAATGCTTCTTCTGAACTTCCTCTTCTAGCTTTATTTCTTGGTTAGTGGAACTCGGTTCCACAAACTCAGGGGCCAGAGATTTTACAGAGACTGCGGCTTCCAATTCATCTACTAGATCATGTACACCAAAATTAGAATTATCTGGTCTTGCCTCATCCGCCGGTTCATGTTGTGCTAAATCAGAAGCACAGTTCACACTTTGGGATTCAGCTCCATCCCCTACAAAAGGTTCGTCACCTGACACCACTTCTACTTCATCAGTATCTAGCTCTGTCGTGAGCCCTTTCTGTCTGGTTTCAGAATCAGATTTTAGTTCATCTTCTCTTTCTGGCCTCTTCTCAAAACCAACTTCATCAGCACCAGCAACAACATCTTTCTGTCCATGAACTTCCACATTCCCAGACTCAGCAACTGCCACTCTGTCAGACTCGGAATCCACACCATCCTTTTCAGCCAACTTATCATCAGCTAGTTCTACAATCAAAGAGTTCTCTTTCTCATCAACACCACCCAAAACTGTACTGTCTTCTTCAACCACTCCACCATTCTCTTTACTCTCTATTTCAACTTCTGATGTGCCATTGAGTACATCGCCTTCCTTAGACTCTACAGCCTTCTTATTTTCTATTTCAGTCATCTCCAATTGCGTCTCCGGCACCGAACTTCCCTCAACCACAGAACCTACACCCTCAACAAATTTCGAATTATCAAGCTCCTTATCTACTTCACCGCCTACCAAGGCATCAAGGACATGCCCTTGGCCACCACTTACACCATTTTCTTTCACCAATTCACCAAAATTTGCATTCTTGCCCAAACCAGTATCCACCAAAATCTCACCGTTCGTTCCCAAGTTCTCCACAGAACTCTCACCCCCAACAGTCTTCAAATCCCTATCAGTAACAAAAGACTCCCTGACCACATCCTCAGCCCCCAAAACATCATATTTCGAATCCCCATCATCTTCCTCGCCATCATCATCATCCACTGAGACCTTGGCAATCGGCCTCTGGCTACTGGGATAGAAAAATTCCGATGAATTGACAAACTTGACTGGGGAATCTTCTTCCCCTGCAATAGCTTTAACTACGATTTCTTTATCTAAGCCTCTCACAAATGCCCTCTCGGAATCAAAATCCTCTTCCCCGCTCACAAAACCCTCAGTCTCAGACCCACCATCACTACCGTCACCACGGCCACCATTAAATTTCTCGTCATTATCTGTTTTCAAAACATGAATTTTCGGTAAACCATCAACATCAGAATACTGTGAGGGATAAGAAGCGGAGGTTGGAGAGGAGAGGGAAGAACCTGATGAGTTTGTGAGGTGCTGAACCTCTTCTGAAGCAGAAAGCTTGGAGGCGTCCATGGAGGCTGTGACTGTGAGAAGAGAAATAAAAGGTGTTTTGGGTTTGGTTTCGCTGCACTCTCAAGAGTGACGAAGCGAGTGTTTGTTTCGGGATTGGGTTGTGAGGAAGAGTGAATGGAAGGGAGGGGAAAGGAAGGGACTGATAGTGGGGAGATAAGGTTTTAGAGTCGGGAAGGATGCGGCCTCACGGGTTGGGTTGGGTTGGCTTGGCTTTTCCAAACTTCCTTGTTTGTTGTAGGGATGGTCTGGGCTGGGAGTTCCATTCGATGTTCATTCCCCTGCTAAAATTACGAAATAGTCCTTTCTCTAGATTTTTCTTTTTCCTTTCTTGTGTTTTGTTTTTTTGCCAGATCTTTTTCCTTTCCTGTTACATCTTCCCTTTATTAGTTGCGAACTAATGAGAATTTTAAACCTAATTTTTCGGACCTTCAGAATTGCAATCACTGGATGAGCCTTGATGAGAAATTATTGTATGGTAGCGTAGTACAAATATGTGGTATAACTTATTAATGTGTTATAATATGTGTGGATGGTGAAGCTGATATTTCTCATTTTTAGAATATAATATTAATAAATATCCACTTATTATATCACACGTGATCGAGTTATGTCATTTGGTCGTACTACAATATCACACGACTAATATATTTCTAAATAGACTAAAATGTTGAAAAATGATTAATTTATATTTACTACAATAAAATAATTGTATATAATAATTCTGACTTGTTTAGCAATTTTTTCATAATGATTAAAAGCGTTTTATGAGTACAACTATAAGGCCCGTTTGGTTCATGATAAAGGAGGCTTGGGAATGAGAAATCAATTCCATAGTTAAATAGGGGGAAAGTTAACCCTCCTCCCCCCTTGGGTTTCATTTTCGAATAATACTAGTCTTACCACAATTTTATACCATATGATGTGGCAGCAGATGTGTACATACCACATCATATAAAATATTAGTTTCTGTTTTTCTAATTTTATTTATTAAAATACATTTCATTCATTTAATTGATGTGACATATGATATGGACATGTCACATTATGTGATATAGAAATATAGGATAAAAATGTGGTAAGTGTAGCATTACTCTTCATTTTCTCTCATCATAGGAAAGTTTGGGAAAATTAGCCAAGATTAAATGCACAATTTTTATTGTCCCCATTAACAATTTATAATTACAAATTAGCATTAAATGCATTCTTTTTTTATTTGATTTCATATGGGTATAATTAGAAAATGAAACAAACTTTGTTTTACATTCATATACAAACCAAACACGTGAAATGAAATAAAATAATATTTCCTAATTACTTTCTCAACATTACCAAACATGAAAAAGTAATCTTTCATTTCCCATCTTGTGGGAAAAGACATGAGAATTTATTTCTCATCAAATATTTTCCTTGAACCAAACGAGGCCTAAGTAGTTTTAGCACATGAGAAGTGCTTCTACCCAAAATCACTTTAAAATGATTATCAAGAAATACATGGAAGGTGGTTATCCTCAAAATCACTCTCAAACGAGCCCTAAGAGTATTTCCAACTAACGAAAAAACTCATATAAATATCCATTTGAATTAGTGATTTATGTTATTGCGTAAACCCTCTTTCATTGGTGGTGTAATTTCAACTCAAATCTTATATTTTGTCATGTTTAAACAAATGATTTTCGCACAAATACAAAATAAAAAAATAAAAAAATAAAAGTTGAAAATATCTAGATCAAACAGGCAAAAGAAAACAAGTAATTTTCAGGATTAGGGTTTTCCTTGTATCTGTCAATACTAGTTGGACTGCTCATTGTTTGTTTGCATTTGAAGGATAACGTTGTGGAATGAGGATTGGGTTATAGGGTCTGTTGTTTTCTGGTCACTACGTGTTTCCGTTCGCTCCCTCTCATTCCTCATCGGCTCATCATCTACAATGGATGGCCCAAACTCCGTCAGCCCCTCTCGGTTCACACGTAACTCCACCTTCCACACTCATCCAATGCTTGATTTCTACAAGGATCCATCCTGCCAAACGTACAAAAAAATATGTTTAGAGAAAGCCCTCTTTTGACCGAAAAAAAAAACGAGAAAGCCCTCTTTTTTTGTACCTTTAAAAAATAATAATAATAACTTTAAGATACGGGCCATGACCAACAAAATTTGGTGCTGGTAAAAATTGGGTTGAGCTACAAATTGGTAGCCCACAATGGTTGAGTATGTACTGTACTGAAATAAGTAGGCTCAGTTAGGCGTTGATAGCCCATTCACTGGCCTAATCTCATAGATAAACCCAACCTCGCTTCCCAGAAAGAAACCAAATTTTTCCTTATCATTTTTGGCAAAAAATGGCAGGTTATTTGTAAATTGCGTTATATTTATATAGTAGTGTGATTATGGAAAGGATATGTCGATAATATGTTGATATCATTGCCGTCCCAAACAATAACGTTCAACCATATTATCGGTATAATGTCAATGCGTGTTTTTTCATTACACATTACAAATTTTTTTCCCGTGTATTGATTTATCTAGCAAATACCAGTTTCATAGTTGTGTTGTGACATAAGATTTCTACAAGTTTGCCCAAAACGAGTAAATAACATTGGCTATGTCCCTTTGTGGCAGCACCAGGAGCAGTAAGAAAATGGATGTAATTTGATGGGGCGGATGAGAATGATATGGGGTTTTGCTAATGATTAGGTTAATAAAAACAAAAACCTATGCATGATTAAGTCTGCGTGATTCCTTCTTCCTTGCCCACTTTTCGAAGGTACATGTGATTGATCTTTTTCAAAGTCCAATAAGCATACTTTATATATTCAATTAAATTAATCCACTCCCTAATCTTTTTACCTTTTCGAGTGGTGGGCAGCCAATTGACTCGCCAATACATTATACATAACTAAATAAATAAATAAGAACTCAATCAACCTTGGATTTGCTAAGTAAAATCTACCAAAATAATTAAAATGGAATAACCAATTCCTAATCCCATAAACATCTATACAAAATATAATATATATACACACCGAGTTCCAACAACTTACAAAGCAAATGTACCAAAATATGAACTTACAAATTAAAGTGCATATTTTAATAGATGTTTTTGCGGACAAGTCTGCATATTCTTTCTGGGGTAGTATGAAAAGAAGGCAAGTGGGTCAGAAAGCAAGTTGCATGTTTTAGTTGTCATCAAAATGTAAAATGTAGTCTTGTAATTTCAATTTTGAAAATTAAGAATATACGAAATTAGAGAGATAGACACAAAAGAAGGTCAATATTTTCGAGTTTAGTACATAAGCTTCGCGCATGATCGTGTTTGTTTTACAGGTTCTTGCCATAGTTCATGCATCCGCGCATAATTGATGAAGTTGATCATGCAACTTGCAATCATTTGGTTTTGGTGTGACATGTTGTGTGTGGCTAGTTAGTTGCATAACTTATCACTTGGGAATAATAAATTGATGTGGTTTGGGGCACTGGTTAGCTGAACTTGAACCCATGCCATCCTCTTGTCGACCTAAATTGCAACTTGACAAGTAGAAACTTTATTAGGCTGACCGTGCATCACAAAAACGACAATGAAACTTAGGTTATGGAAATTAATTAAAGATAAAGTTATATTTATAATTTAGACTAATTCCCTTGCACTGAAATTCAAATATCTAGATAAATATTTATGAGGTTAATAAAGGGAAAAGAATGAAGACGCAGTAAAATAGTAATTTAACTTTTTTTTTTAATTAGTGTAATTTCAATTATTAGTAAAAAGAAAATAGTAATTAGCAAAAAAAAAAAATTTCTTATCCTTTTGCCGAAGTTCACATGGAAACTTCATCAAATCAAAATCCTCAAAAATTTCAAAATGAAATCTCTATGAAACGTTCGGAAGTGAGTTCGTAAAACTGTGAAACTTTCTCTCCAGTCTCCGACTAGTTTAGAGCTTCCAAATACAAATTTAAATTCCAATAAAATTCAATAATTTTGAACCCAAAACTAAAAGAAGGCCCTTCCTACTTCCTCCACCGCTTCATAACCTTTCCCCCATTTGTCCCCTCTCTCTCTCTCTCTCTCTCTCTCTCTCTCTCTCAAACCAAACCATATAAAAGAGGGGGAATGAAATAAACAAATAAAAAGCATACACCAACACCAATTTTTTTTTTCTTCTTATAATTGGTATATCCTTCAATCAATCATTCATTCATTCACACCCTTCTCCTTCTCTGTTTCTCTCTCTGCACCAACACCTTGTTTGGATCAGAGACGAAGACACAGCTCGAACTTGAGCATCAACATGGTTGAAACCAGACGGAGCTCTTCTTCCAAACGCGCCCTATCTGCCTCCCCTCCCCCCAACCCCAAACGTTCCAAGGTATCGTCTTTCAATTCATTTTTAGGGCTCTAACTGAATCTCTGTGTATGTATATATGGGTTTTGTCTGTCTGTACGCGAATTCTCTTGCATGTACGATTTTTTGGTCCAAGATTTGTTTTTTCATTTTGGGTTTCCAATGCTTGATCGGTTTTCGGTGAAACCCTAGGCGTCTGATGCTTCGTCCTCCAACAACGGAGTTAGGAGCGGGCCACCGGCGGAGCCCTTGGGTCCGATAAAGGAATCTGGGTCCCAACCTCCAGAAATTGAGCTCCGATCCTCTGATCCGCCAAGCACTGATTCGTTGAAGGCCGTTAACGGCTCTGATGCCACGGTGTTCGAGAGATCTCCCGATGTCGTGGCCGAAGGCGAGGCCTTGGTTTCGCCGCAGCCTTTGGGTACAAATCTTGCTCTTTCCTTGCATGCTTGTCTGTAGCTGGATTTCGATTACATGAAGGTTTAGGGTTTGAATTTTTGTTTGTGCTGGGGTTTTGGGTTTCATTTTTTATTTGGGTTGTTGGGGTTTTCAGGGGAGACTGCAGTCCGTGCGGGGTTGAAGCGGGCTAAGAAGCTTCCAAAGAAGACTACAAAATCAAATTCGAAATCAGCTTGGGGAATGCTTATTTCCCAGTGCTCTAAGGTGGGATTTGTTGCTTATTTTCCCCCTCCTGTCTTTTGTTATCCGTTGATTTCTTAGGAAAGATCCAAAGCAAAATTTGTAGGTTATTGTAATTATACAAGGCCATATAATACATAAACTTTCATTCTGTTATTCTTTATACTCTTTGTTTGGCTAAAAGGGACGAATTTATCACACTGTGATATCTAAACAATGATAACA